GCAGTGCGCCACTGGGCCGGCCCAGAGGATAAGAATTTTCAAACTGGAAATATAGATGAGCAGTATAAATATTTAGAAAGTGTTTTCTTGAAAATGTGTTTGCTGATCATAGTTTCCTATTGCATGCCATGTTAATTTCAATTTTGAATATTTTCTGCAATGTTTTATTTGCTGTGTGTTCTCTCCCTTAGGCAGCCTTTTTACAACCCTTACTATCTTGGCTTGAGAAGGCTTATCGGGGGATTCCTCAATTTCCTTCTGGTCACTTGGTGGCAGAAATTCTCTACTAGGGTTAGCTGGGGCTGACCACCAATTTGACTCCTTTTATCAGTGCAGCTAAGGACATAGAGCCTGAATTTGAGAGAGACAGAGGCAGGGTGACAAAAGCCAGGAGTTTTTTTGGAAATAGCTAAGCAGAAGCATTTGTATTGAGGCTGTTCTTGTTCTGACCACTTCCTATTCACTCCATTGATAAAAGAGGGATCCCTCTCTCTACATAACTGAGATGGCCAAACCCACAACACTAGATAGATGAGACTGACAGCAGTTTATTAATCACATATACTAATAACACAAGGGAGGAGGGGATCACATGTCCTGCTGGGCCACACAGGGGTTGCGCTTGGGAGCAGAGTGAACCAGCAGGGATTATGAGAGGAAGGCTTTATAGTGACAAGTGGGTCAGGTGATGGTTGTCTCCCTTGGGAGGATGTGATTGGCTCCTTTGAGTAATTTCTCTTTTAAGGAGGTGGGATGGAGCTGGTACGGCTGATAGGGGAGCCAGTCAGGATGGAGACCTTCCTGCTGGGCGAGGCATATCTGGCAAGAGTAGAACTTACAGCTAGGCCTTGGGACCTGTGAGGCTCAAAGATGTCAAGGCACTATGTGGGATTTTGGTACTTACAGTGCAGTTCTCATGGTTAAAATTTCAGTGGAGGTAGAAGAAAAGCAATGAGGTACTGTCTGGCCATAGTTGGAGCCACTGCAGGCTTCTGGGACACTATACAGAAGAGACCCGGCTGGCTGTCCACAAGGAATGGCAGTGAGTACCAGGGTGTCTACCCAAATATGATAGGTTGAGTTCAAGTGACCATGAAACAGGTATCTGGCTTGTCAGAAGCAAGAGGTGTAATGATTAAGGGGTGCAGAAGTTGTGCCTAACTTGCACTTGGGCTCTTATCAGATCTGTGGCTTCTGGAAAATTATTTAATCTCTTTTTACTTCCATTTCCTCATTAATAGTATAATAGTAACTGTCTCATGGGTGGTTGAAATGTTAAATGATATAATATCTGTAAGTACTTAATAAATATGAGCTATTATGGCAGATGCTCCTCAATTTATAATGGGATTATGTGCTGATAAACCCATCATAAATTGAAAATATTGTATGTTGATAATGCATTTAATACACCTAACTTGCTGAATATCGTAGTTTAGCTTAGCCTACCTTAAACATGCTCACAACACTGACAGCCTAGAGTTAGGCAAAATCACCTAACACAAAGCTTATTTTATAATAAAGTGTTGAATATCTCATGTAATATACCAAATGTTGTACTGAAAGTGAAAAACACTATGGTTGTATGGGTACTTGAAGTACAGTTTCTACTGAATGCGTATTGCTTTTGCACCATGGTAAAGTCGAAAAATCATTAAGTTGGTATTATACACAGGTATAATGATGAGAACAGAAGTTACCCACACCAGCTTCTGAGGATGAGCTAACAAGTGGTCAGCCTTAGCCTAAGATGTAGTCTGGGCTGAAGACTCGGTGATATTATTAAGGTCACGTAAACTATACTAGAAACTCTATTTCCCTTTACGAGGTTCTGATTTTACAAGGCGTAAACAGTTGCTTAGAAGTATTAGGGAGGCTTTGCATTTAGAAGATTACTAAGGTATATTTTAAATAATGACCAATTAAATATTTTCCTATCTAAGAGTATTGATATTTTGAAAGCAAAGCACAGTGCCTATTACATAGAGACATTCAATAAATGTTTATTGAATAGCTTTTGATAAATGAAGCATTATAACTATCAAATTATGGAAACTCCTTCCTAGCTTCATTTGTAATATTTACAAGTAAATTGAACAAAAGATTAGTTAAGAAGTTGCTCTAGAATGTTCATATGAAAAGCATCATGGTATTGTATTCTGGATGGAAGATGCAAACTTGTCTTAAAGCTTCATGGCATGCCAAGCACACTGTTTATTTGTGTGGCTAGCATAGAGACACTAAGAGGAAAAAAGCCCTTCCAAGCCACTTGTTGGCTCATCCCCTGTGGTAGCAGTAGGGAATTAGAGGTAGAAACAGAATTTATTTATTATTTGTTAATGGAGACATTTTATACAGACTAAATATACTTATTTTTCTCATTAGATCCTACTCTATTTCTATATACGACTTCCACCTAACTTTTTTGTTGAAATAAATTACAAAATCACCAAGAGAACTCCCTTGAATGTTACTGTATTATGCCTAATGTAGTGGGTTTATATCATATGTGTTCAAACAATATTTGTTAGTTAATCCATTTTTACTGAACCATCAGTATTTTTCAGTTGTGTTTAGGATTTTATCCTTGCAAGACAGATTATTTTAGAGATTTCATGTGAATAAATTGGATCAGGTAATCTAAGACTCCTTTTAATGGTGATAGTCTATGATGATTAAATCTAGCAAGGAGAGATCTTGGTAAGAAGTCTTAGAGAAACCTGGGAATTTACTAGTCTTATATTAACATATTAAGGATTGTAGTAGAATAAAATTACATAGATAGAAATTATGTATATTCACTAATAAAAAATCTGATTAATAACAGCCTTAGGTTTTACTGAATGTAAATGGTAGGTTCCTTGGTGTGTCATGGAATGGCCCAAGAGAGACAGTGGTGAAGAGTATAGATTCTGGATTTGAACACCTCAGTTTGATTATTAACACCACCACTTTCCTTTGGCCTTGGGCAAGTCACTTCACCTTTCTGTGCCTATATCCTCATATGTAAAACAACGATAGTTAGTAACTACTTTATAGGGTTGCTAGATGGTTAGATGAGTGAATTAGCATCCACAAAGCACTTAGAATATTCTAGCACATAAGCACTCAGTACATTCTCATGATCATTCTTCTTGTTTCTTCACACAGATAGAGCTGACTTCCAAGCAGTCTTTCTATGTTTGGTGGCTACTGCAGAAGAGATTCATGGAGAATGTTTTTTTCTGGGATACATATATAAAGCTTTACTTGAAGGCCTAGAATTTAAAAGTAGCTAATATTTTCTATTCTCAATTATTAAGATACTTTCTAAAAAGAAAATCTAGTATTCAGGGAATTGATGTCAAAAGCCAAGTGAGCATTATCTCACTATGAAGCAGTGTCTCAGCCATTGCCAGGAATGGTTTTAAAGCAAGCAATCTATTGCTGAAAGTGCTGTCTTTGATATCAAATAGTCATTACCAATTCCATGACACTTCACTAAGACTTAAAATTACTCATCACTATCTCTTGGCAAGAGTTCAAATTTGAGATGAAATTCCCTTGAAGTGGTTAAGGCATTTATTGTATCCCCATCTAATGCTATTAAATAGTTTTATTCTACTGGTGCAGTACTCTCTTCAGGTGGCTGCTGATGAAGAGACACTCTAGTTACTCACACAGGCTAAGCTGTTGAGTCAATCACATTCACAGAATGCACCTTGCCCTTTAGTTTATGGTTTATAATGCATTCCTTTTGTAAACTGTAAATTGACAAAATTCCTTTGTTATTTTTAAATCGCTTTAAAGTCTTCATTTTTCTGTCTTCCTTGTGAGAAATTCCCCTGAACAACCTTAGTTGTTCTCTGAGAAATGTTTTAAAGAAATTTCAGGAGTGTTAAAGCTCAGAAGGGCCCCTATAGCTACAAAGTGCTGAAGTAAAATGTGATGCTAAAGTGTGATAAGAGAATAAACAACTTCACTGTCATAATAAGAATGTGACAACGATCCATTGTTAATTATTATGACTTCTAAATTCTTTCAGAAAATCGTGGTTTACGTTACAGAAAAATGTTTCAAAACGGTAACATAAAACAATTGTTACAAAGTAACTCCTCATGTACAACTCTTTTAAAAACTGTTAAATGCTTTCAGGGCTCTTAATTTGGGATCTTTAACTATAGATAGTTTTTGCTTTTTGTATTATGCCCAGATCCCATTTCATGCAATTTGAATGCAAATTCCTGTATATTGAGAGCCTTAATTTACAGAGAAATGTTCCATCTTAGTTCCAGTTGGTTTCTCATCTCTTGTCTTCTCTGATCCTGTTCCTACATTCTCTCTTCTTTTTATCAGGTGATCGTTCCCCTGGATGGCCTGAGAGAGCCAGGTCCGGGTTTCGTTTCATTAGTTTCTTTGCTCCAGTCGACGCCGGTCTGGTGTCTCTCCAGCGGTGGCCCAGCGTTGACAGCATCTCCGAGAGCACTGAGCGGAGCGGCGCACCGGGGGCGTGGCGCGGAGGGGCGTGGCCTGCCCGCGGGGCGGGGCGGGGGCGGGGCCTTTCTCG